AAGTAAATATGAGGCACTATTTATCGAACATTGTGATTTAATACTTTAATTGTCACTTGTAGGTTATTTTCTAAAGCTTTAGTTTGTTATTTTGTAGATCATTTTATTAGCTCTAATTTTGTAGGTTATTTTGTAAGGCTGTATTTGTCGGATACAAAAGAGGTTTAAGAAGACAATATGAAAGCACATCTTTATTAAGAATTGATGGAGTCAACACAAAAAAAGACACCAGTTTTTACTTGGGAAAGAAATGTGCTTATGTATACAGAGTTAAAAAGTATGAACATCTAATTTTGCTTTACTATATCGTGTGCAGTATACAATATCAAACTCAATGGATGGGATATTCCACTTTTTTTTTGTTGAATTCCTTTTTAGATCTAGTTGAATCATTGAACACATCTGACACTTAGTATTTGTTGAAACAGTCTGTAGCATGGATAGCTTGAAATAGCTCAGTTATTGTGCAGGATTACTATTTGAGAACAGTTTGAATTCTGTCGGAAAAACTGTACATAGTGTATGCACTTCCATTTTGCACTGTATCATAATCCTGCCCTATACACCATTCAAGCACTGTTCCTTGTCTATTCCCACCTTTGGCGACCAATTTTCTGATCAATCAACTTATGAGGTAAAAAGCTATCTCCAGTGGATACATTTCTGTCACCTGTGATCTTTATTCTATGTTATTGTATAAAATATTGTTATTCCAGAACTACTTCAACCCCTGGTAAAAGAGCAGAACATAAAGTAAAGGTAATCTGGGGCAAAGTTACTCGACCTCATGGATGCAGTGGTACAGTTAGAGCTAAATTCAGGACCAATTTACCTAGTAAGGCTATTGGACATAGAATCAGAGTGGTAAGTCTTTATTTTATTGGTTTACTGAACTACTGGTGCGACAATCTGAACAATTAATGTTGAGTTTTGCATTAATTTTTTCTATAATCATTCACTATTTTGTACTATAATGTATTTCAGGGCAAGTATGTTGTAAATATCTCAAATTTGTCTTGTCAATCTCTTGATTATCTTGATAATATCACTCCATATTTATACACTGAGGAGTATTTTCCAACACCAAAATTTGGCACTCTACAACTATGAAATGAAAAGTTGTTTTTCCTTTACAGTTTCTTATCTATCATCTCTTTCATTTCAGATGCTGTACCCATCCAGAATTTAAATCTTTAAAAAAATAAAATTAAAAAAACTCAATAAGTGTTTTTTACCCCCTAAAGTCCCATGAAAACCACATTGACAGTGGTTCCAATCATGGTGTGACCCCTTGTGGAATGGACTAAACTTTTCGAGTTACTGGTACTCTGGGGCTCAATTGGCTAGTATGTATGGTAAGAATAAATAAACCAAGTACTAACAATTCAGAACCGCAAATTAAAATCCGAAATTAAAAACATTTTGACCTAACATTAGTACCCACTAATAAACTTTTCATATGAAGTATATCAAAAGTGAGGAAGCATTTCATAATGAAAACATAAATGAAATATAGTGAGCATGCAAAAGAGCATGGTTGTTGGTAACTTTCAATGACCAAAATAGTGTCTTATCGTAGGTGTAAAACTTCACATCCAACTATTTCCTTGGCTCCTTGCGTGTTTGATTTAGTAGAAATAGATCAATATGAAACCTCCAGATTTGTGAAGTAATCAGATGTAGTTATTGCCGTTTAGAAAACAACATTTTGGTTTAGAATCCGAGGAGTAATAACGCCTATATCACAAGAATTTGTTTTCATTCATCAGTCCTTTCCTTGTGATTGTCCTGTTGTATAGAGGTAGACCTATTGAATGCTCCAATTGATTATTGTGGAATAGTTCGGACTATAGAAGAATGTGTTGCCCAAGTCCTATCTATATTTAGAAACAGTCGAATTGCACGATATCTTTTTGAGTGCACAAGTCAGAAATATTGTCCACATGTTCTCACCGTGTAATATATTGACATGGAAAACCGAGACTATTGATTATGCTTCAAAGTGCCTTGGTATCGAGATTATTGTATGCTATATATATATCTTTTCTGCCGCACGTGCAGACACTTGGCAGGCATTTTACCTACTGTGAACAAGTACAGTGGTGTAACCTATTTTCGTGAATATAAGGATTCAACACCGAATTTCGTCAAAATTAAAAAAACAAAAAAAATTTTTATATGTCATAGATGTTTCCTCAGATATTCTACAAAATAATTAGAATTGGTTTATTTCGATTTTCTTTATGAATCCTTCACTTTGACCCATATTTCATGAGCAACCAACTCGGCAACGGCGGCAGAATGCATCACCTATTTTCGTGTACAATGTTTGATCTATAAATAAGTATAGAAAAACACGTTGTATGGATACCGGGTGTTATAATTAACTTCTCTTAGTATTTATCTTTAATATCAATTCATTATAACTAGTGACAATTCCTTCAAAGAACCAGTAGCGTGATTTATTGCTAAAAGTCACTGAAACAACATAAGAATACGGTCCACTTTGTGTTCCATAGAAATTTTCTGCTGACACAGAATCCGCTAGTTGATCACGTGACTTCATTCGTTGGACTATATTCTAGCAGACGACACTTGGAGTTCCGTTTACCGATTGGGATTATAAGGAAATTCGCCCGATAAAAAATGGTGACGTTTGGTAATAAGTTAAATCCGCCATTTTGTATTTGTCAAAGTATACATTAATACATTGTACCTTGCTTGAAACTACTGAATTCATTCTACTAGCTGATATTGTAGAGAAAACCCATGTTTATCAAAACAAACTAACGTGGAGGTCGCGCAAGTCGCGTAAATTATTAATCGTTTCCGGAAATTCACCAATAATATGTTTCCACGAAATTAGGTTACTAGACTGTATTAAACTTAGTATAGAACTCACGGTGTTCTTATTTGAATACATCAAAATTGGCGACGAGGATGTTTTCAACAATTTAACATTGAATAATGGCAACTTTAGGAACTGTCAGCGAGTTTGATGAAAACGAAGATTGGTCCCAATATGCAGAAAGGTTAGAGCATTACTTTGTGGCAAATAACATCGCCGATGAAGATAAGAAGAAAGCTGTCTTATTGAGCCAAAGTGGAAGTAAAATTTATGCCTCGATGAGAAGTTTACTTGCGGCAGTCCTGCCCGGGGAGAAGAGTTTTGCTGAATTAGTAAATTTAGTGAAGAATCACAGAAACCCCCAACGGTCAGAGATAGTGCAGCGGTACATGTTTCATTCACGTAGTAAGAAGGCAGCCGAGTCAGGGAGTGAGTATGTGGCTGAACTAAGGAGATTGTCCGAATTCTGTAACTTTGGTGCAGTCTTAGAAGATATGTTACGAGATAGACTGGTATGTGGTATCAACGACGATAGAATTCAACGCCGGTTGTTATCCGAAGTCAACTTAAATTCCCCAGAGCGTTAGAATTAGCCTTAGCAA